TGTGTGTGTGTGTGTGTGTGTGTGTGTGTGTGTGTGTGTGTGTGTGTACAAGCTGGGGGGCAGGGGGGCGATGAGGGGAAGCAGCTTGAATAGAAGAGGAACTTGGTGTCCAAGTGCTCCTAATTCTCAGCCTCTGGATCTTGAGCAAAATACTTTACATCTCTGAGCCCTACTTTTCTTATCTGTAAAGTCAAGATAATAATAAAACTCACCTCACGAGCTTATAGTAAGAATCAAATGAAATAATGTTTATAAAACATGAGCTGGAAGGAACTCTTATGTGTTTTCTGGGAACCACCAGACAACCAAGGATCTTCACTTTTGTCAGGATGTTTTGGTTGGAAGTGAGAAAAACCTATTCAAATTAGCTTAGGCCAAAGGAGGGAAGATTACTGGAAGGATACTCAGGTCACACGCAGAATCAAAAGACGAACTGGAAACCAGATTGACTCTGAACACTAGGGGCTGATCCTGTGGGCTGCCCAGTCCAAGACCCCCTTCCTCTGCCTCTCCTAGTGCTCAGAGTTTGCCCCATGTTGGAGATGTGACTCCGAATAACTACACTCTAGGTTGGTTTGAACAAATCCCAAGGGAGGCCTCTAATTGGCCCAGCTCTAGTCACGTGCCCAGTCTTGGACCAATCACTGTGGCAAGGGAGAGAGGTTTCCGTAACTGAACCAGGTGTAGGTCAATATTTCCATCCCTGTGGTCTGTAGAGCAACACCTATGCCAAAGAGGTGGTGTTGCAGGACCAACATCATAATTCCGGCAAAGTCTTACAGTATATGCCTGGTATTCCTCAGGCCCTAAGCTATCTCTGAAAGGTTTTAGGCAGAGTAGTAACATTATTACATTTGTGCTTTTAGAAGATCCCTAAGGCTGCAGTAGGGAGAATGGATTGGAAGGAGCAAGATTAAAAAATAGGAAGGAAACTGTTACAATGGTTCAGGAAGTCGGTGATGAGATCTAAGAGGTGAACAGATTCAAAATATATTTAGGAGGTAGAATTGAGGGGTGACTAATAGGATGGTGACTGATAGGATTCTGGCTGCATAGATGGTGATGCTGTTTACTGAGACCAGGAATCCAAGTGACTCTGTGTGTGTGTGTGTGTGTGTGTGTGTGTTTCGTGAGGGGTGACAACTTGGTCCTCTTCCATTTGAGGTGTCTGGACAGAGAAAAGAGGTCCAGTTTGCTGTTTGAAGTTCAGGAGAGACATATAAGCAAAAACTGTACATTTGGGAGTTGTACTAATCAAAACTTGTGTTCAGCTCCTGTAACATCAACCCAACCACATTGCTTTGACTACATAGGGTTTGTTGCATTTTGCTGCTATACTCATTGAAAACTCTGACATAACGCACAGTCTGAAGGTAAGTAGAGTAAGGCTGGTCAGCAGTGCCACAGTCATTCAGGTCCCAGGTCCGCTCTGTCAGTCTGCTCTGGCTCTCTTTACTGGGAAGCTTGCCTCCTCAGAGCCAGCTGTGGTCATACCATGGCTGCTCCAGCTCCAGCTTCCTACCTTCATTCCATATAGGCAGGAGAAAGAGCAAAAAAGGATGAAAGAGTAGCACCTATGTTAGGACAGGAAAACTTCCCCAGAAATCCCTGCCGACTGCTGCTTATGCCTCTTTGGCCAAGTCTGGTCGCATGGCAATCCATAGCTCCACAGGAGGCTGGGAAATGTAATTTTTAAAAATTAAGTTATATATGTTATATATATTTTACCACAATTAAAAAAAACAACATTTTAATGCTAAAAAAAAATTAGGTTCCGAGCCTGTTTGAAAGAAAGAAGAGGAGAATGATTATTGAGAGAGCTGCACAGAGATGATGATTAAAACCATGAAAGTAGAGGAAATTATCCTGGGACTGGGAGTTGAGAAGGAAAAACGACAGAGGCAGAATCCTGATGAATGTGGAGACGACTAGGAAGAGAAAAAGGAGAGGGATTAAGAAGCCTGAGAAAGAGCAGCCAGTGAGATAGAAGCAAAGCCAGAAGGATGGTGTGTGTGCAAGTCAAGGGAAATGAATGTTTCAGGAAGGAAGGAGTGGCCCCCAGTTTCCAGTGCTGCAAAGAAGGCTGCGAGACAAAGGCTGAGGAGTGACCACAGGTGTCGGGAGCTTCAGAGAGCTGGGCCAGTGGATAGTTGGGTCACAAGCCTGTTAAGTGGGCTGGAGAATAAATGAGGATCAGAGTGAGGTCTTTAGCTGGAAGATGATGAGGGTAAGAGGCTGAGGGAGAGGTTTGTTTGTTTAAGAAAGGAGAGACTTGAATATGTTTAAATGATGTAGGGAAGAGGCAGTAGAAGAAGAGAAATTGAAGAGTCTGAAGGAAAAAAGATGATGCTTGCTGGAGAAGGTGGGAAGGATTGGGGTTCAGAACAAGAGGGCAGCCAAAGACTGGAGGACAGATAGGCCTCCATGGAGACAAGAGGATGGGGGAAGAGCTGAGTGAGATGCAGATGTTTGTGGATTTAGTGGGGGTTCCTGAGTGAAGGCTTCCTTTTTTTTTCTGAAAATAGGAGGAATAGGTCACCTGTTTAAGGAAAGTGGATGTTTGGTGGGATCGAAGGATTTCAGAGAAACTTAGTAGAAAATGAGAGAGGCTCCTGAGGAGGGGCAGACAGAAGGATTTGAGGAAGGATTGGGAACCCAGGTGAGGATGGCGAACCAGAGTCAGAGTTACAGCTCAAATGGCACAGCCTTCATCAGTCTTCAGCGGCTGGGGTAAGTCCAGGTGCAGAGAGCACAGGCAGTAGGATTGATCAAAGTTTGAGGGTCTGCTAGAAAGGCATGATAGAAAAACAATAGTGCAGAGGATTGAAGAATATTGGAAAGAAAGCACTGAGGTGTCGTATCATGAGTCTTGGCTGGTAGGGGAGAGAAGTGACAGCTGGAAGGGCCAGTAGATGGGAAGAAAGGAGAAGGTAGGGGTGAGGCAGGAGGGCCCTCATTGACCGCAGAAGACAGGAATGGTTGCACGTGGCTACGGTCAGACAGAGGGATGTATCCACGGGAGTGAGTGATCAGGATGAAATGAAGGAATCAGTGGCCCTTGCAGTGAGGAAGTCAGGGCCAAGAGGCCAGTGGGAGGATGGGTCACCCCATGAAGTATGGCAGGACTTGGCTGAGCCAGGTGCTAACGTCTTTGGTAGACCTTTCACTCCGAGCTGTTTTGAATTGATGTTGCCTTTCTTGAAAAGATCAAGGAGCCCTAGAGAAAGGTGAACAGAAAAGAAATTAATTTCTTGGCCTGTCACCCAATGCCTGCCCTATTTGTTCCAGAACCATCTATTTTTTTAAAAATCTGCAGGACTTCCCTGGTGGCACAGTGGTTAAGAATCCACCTGCCAATGCAGGGGACACGGGTTTGAGCCCTGTTTCGGGAAGATCGCACATGCCACGGAGCAGCTAAGCCTGTGCACCACAATTACTGAGCCTGTGCTCTAGAGCCCGCGAGCCACAACTACTGAAGCCCGAGCACCTAGAGCCCACTGAAGTGGGAAGCCACTGCAGTGAGAAGCCCGCACACCGCAGTGAAGAGTAGCCCCCACTCGCCTCAACTAGAGAAAGCCCGCGCACAGCAATGAAGACCCAACACAGCCAAAAAAAAAAAGAATAAATAAAATAAATGAAATTTTTTAAATGTTAAAAAAAAATCTGCAATTTTCCAAGGGCTTCTTACTCCTATTTGCATCTGCAGCCACAGTCCTGAGACCTCTGTCCTCAGACAGTGTCCCCTACCACACTGTAAAGATTTGTGATAGGAACCCATGTGTTAGCACACGACACAGTGGAGCATACTTTAATGATGGAGGCCAGGACTCATAGATGATGGTGACAAGGAGTCTTATCACCCCTTAGCCCTTAGTTGTCCAGGTGGGAGGGAGAGGACAGT